CAACTTTTGAAAGTCCCAAGTCCTACAATCAAGGATGTGCCATGGCTCCACTCCTCCTGGAGGCTCTAAGGGGATTTTTGTCTTTTCCAGTTCCAAAAGCCACCTATTGTCCCTTATTTGTGACTTCCTCTGTGTCCCAGTCCAGTTGGATCTTCAAATGTATCTTCCTTATAAAGACCTTTGTTCTCGCTTTGCACCCACCTGGGTAACCCAGGTACATCTCTCCATTTAAAAGTCCTTGATTTAATCAGCTGACAAGTCTCTCTTACCATGTAAAATAGCACAGCTTCCCGGGACTAGGATATGGTTATCTGTGGGGAGCCATTATTCATCTCGCAACAATAAATACCATTACCCTAATGACAAAATTGTCTAAATAAACCTCAGAGCCGACCAGTCGTAGTTCAACTGTGTAATGCCTCCGATAGTGGGATCTATGTTGAACATCTATGGCTTTTTGATTACTAAAACAATGGTTCTCAAGCAGACATGCATCAGAATTCCCTAAAGAACTTAGGGCAAATTTCTAGGCTCTGACGCCATGGCTTCTAATTCAGAATTTCAGATCCAGCGTATAGTTGAAGAATTCACATTTCTAACAAGATTCTAGCGGCTGCTGCTGGTCCAAATACATGCTATAGAAACCAACAAATAGCAGTGAGCTCTGCTACCAGGACAACCACAGGAGCTCTGTGGGCCCACTGCTAATGTTATTGTTGGGAACTCTACCAACTGACGCTTACTCTTCAACTATGCTAATTGGTTCAGAAATGTCCCACTTAGCAAAGCTGGCTATTTTGACAAGATGCATTCTAACTTTCAAATGATTAATTACTGTGGAGATGTGTGAGGGTGGGCTGACACCTATTAAAATACAGCACATGTAGTAATGGAATGGAGAAAAAGGACTAATTTAATTATAAAAAATCCATAGTGGCAAAGAGGCAAAAATAGATTTAATTATACTAAATGCACACACATCTATCTTTTCATGTTTATTTTCATGGCAAAAATAGACTATAATATATTCATTTCACATATAATATACGCCACCATTCAAGCTTTTGCCCGTTAAATGTACAGTTTTATAAACAAATCGTTTCGAAGAACTAACCTCTTATGATTAGACATTTTTATATTATCTTCCAACAGCACATAAAGTTGCTTTTTAAACTAGAAAGTAGTAAACAAATATTCTACTATATTGAAAAGTTAGAATTCCCAATATATTTCTTGAATTATAGGGCAACTTTTCTGAAGTACATTTAATTTTTCTCCAAATTTTGGTGTCTACTGGTTTTGTTTTAAATAAACTTGCTTTGTACATATTTAACTACGCTTTGCTAAATTTCCTATGGATGGCATTTGGGTTGCTTTTCTTTGAACCAGCTAATAAAACACGGAAGTGTACAGCAGAGTTCTGGTTTGTGGCAGTGTAATTTTTCATCTGAACTAAAGAGCTTCATTATAAATCATACTTTCCTCTATTGAGTACAAATAGAACACTGAGATGACTTCATAGAAAATACTTAATGGTTCGGCTTGACTGCGTGCCAGGTTCATCTGCTGGGAACTTAATCCCCACTGCGGTGGGACCAGGCAGTGGAGTGCCCAGGCGGCAGAGCCCTCAATGGGTTGATACTATGAATGACCACATCTCAGGAGAGACGCACGCACGCACGCACGCCTTCCGCCAAGGAAGGGCCAAGCGGCAAAGCCCCTCAACCTGCCTCCACAACCGAAAGATATGGTCTCAGTCGTTCGTTACAGCAACACATACCAGGCTAATATTCTTAAGATTAACATTTTAAAACTTACAGATAAAAATCTGCACATTTTATATTTTAATATAAAAATGACTTGAGCACACACACAAAAGCAAAATGGTATCAGCCCCAACCAGTGATTTTTTTCCGGAGACAAAAGTCTTGGTATGTAGCCCAGGCTGGCCTCGAACTCAGTGATCCTCCTGCCTCAGTCTCCCCAGTGCTGGAATTGCAGGCTTGCACCACCACACCTGGCTATGCTAATCAGCCTTCATTATATGAGGTTTTTAGTAAGTGTAAGGTACTGACAAATATTTTTGTATGTGTCATTTTCAATCTCTTGTTTAGAATTTGACTATACTAATATAATTCAATTTTACTAGAAATTAAGCTGATTATCTTTAGTATAGTACTGTAAAAAGTTCTAATATGGTCTATACTGACCATATTATTAGAAGTTTTTGAAATGTAATAAGAATCATTCCTACATGTTAACTATTCCGTTTTTCTATAGTTTGCCACAAAAATCAAACTATGTGACTAAAACCCTTTACAGCTCACCCGTTGGGTGGCAGCAGGTCACTGCATTTGCTTACACTCTTTCCCTGACCTTTTTGTTCGACCCACTTAGGCTTAGTGGGGGTGGTATCCTATTTTTAGTCCTGTCTTTATTAAATTTGCTCTGGAAATACTTTTGTCACTTCTGGAGGGTATTTGTACTTCTTTCAGACCGTCTACCAGACCCCATTAATGTCGCACTTTTTTTTTTTTTTTTTTTTTTTGCGGAACCGGGAATTGAACTCAGGCCCTTGCGCTTGCCAGGGAAGCGCTTATTCCACTGAGCCATCTCCCTGGGCCCTATCGCACTTGTATTATTCCAGTAAAATACAAAACCTTACCAAAATACTTTCAGGACATTATATAAAATTAAGACAATAAATGTCACTGGAAGTAACAAAGGATTTGTCTCATTCAGTGGTCCATTAATTTTATGTGATCTTTAATAAATTTCCAGAATAAAAAAATGTGGATAGTCTCATAGTATATGGAAGCAGTCTAAACTGTCATATGATGAAAAATGAGCACCTAAAAATTAGTATTTTCCTTTCATTTGTTCAGTTCTCATTTGATGAACTAGCAAATGGAAATGGAAAGCCAATTATCAAACCTGAATTAGGCCCAGGGCTATAGCTCCCTGGCATAAGCACCTGCCTGGTAAGCACAAGGTTATGAGTTTGATTCCCAATACCAAAACAAAACAAATCTGTACCAGGCTCATCAATATACCCCAAAACCTGAGACCTGAAAGATTTATATTCCTGCTGACCCACTAATGATCGAACCTTCTGGATTTCTTTGGCAGTGTAGATTTCCTCCAAAGAGTGAATTCTGTAGACTTTTGTTTCACCAAGTTTTAAGTGCAAATTTAAAATACACATGTACATTTAGATGTCAATAGTATTCATGTTTGACAACTGAAACCATCATTCTTTTTACAATTTAAAATTGACCGGTCCTGTTAAAATTGCAGGTTTTTACAATGAATGCACTGCGCTGCTCTAAAGCCCAAAGAGAGGGGGTTCAGAGAGTTTTAGGCGGTCCTTTTATTAGATACACCATTAAGTCATTTAATAAAAGTTGAAGAAATGACACATACACTTACCGAAACTTCCAGAAACTTGGAACCTTTACATACTGTTACAACTTTTACCGGTAAAAATGCCAAAGTATTCCTTTGCTGTGTGCACATGTGCTTGTTTATGTTAAAGCTTAAGAGTATAAGGTTACTATCCCTTTCTTTACCCATCAAAATACTAAAAAATGTTTAGATTTTACCCCAGATTTTTAAAAACTAGGTATTTTAATTTTTCAGGTAAATAGAACTAAATGTTTATGGAACCACACGCAGGCAGGCTGACTACCTGAGTGACCTAGATACGCTATCTATACCACTGACTGAACTGTCACTCCTGCAGGTGGGTGCTGCGGACCCCACGCTTCCAGCTTAGCAGGTACCTTTGCTCCTCCACTTCAGCTCCTTGAAATGCTGAAGAAGACAGGCTAAGCCCATGGCAAGAGGAAAGCAGAGGAGCACTGGCCAGTTTACTCTCCAGTACCCTGCCACACGAGACGAGGCTTCACGGGAGCACTGGCGCTCACTTCGACCCCACCGGGTCCCTTACCGCGCCACTCAGATCTTGCCCCTGTGCATCTCCCCGCAGCACTGCCTCCAGCGGTTCCCGAGTCCCACTTGCCAATGCCCGGCTGAAGCGGGGAGATTCGTGCTCTGATCTCACCACCAGGGTAAAGGAGGAGGGAAAGTCACCTTCCGTATTCCTGGGAGTATAAACAGCCAGGGGCTTCTGTGGCTTGTACAACCTTCAAGGGGACAAACCACGAAAGTTAAAACTCAAGAGTACCACTTCAGTTCAGCACTGAAGTGAACTTCTACAGCATTTTTTTTTTTTTTTTTTTAATTTGGGAACTGCCTAAAATTTACAGAAAATTATGTCACTTTAACAATCCAAGGAGGGGTCGGGGAGATGGCTCAGTGGAATAAGTGCTTCCCTGGCAAGCACAAGGGCCTGAGTTCAATCCCCAGTTCCGCCAAAAACAAAAAACAAAAAACAAAAAAACAATCGAAGGAACTTTCTAATATTTTCTAAAGTCCACCCACCTCCAAACCCCACAAACTTTGAACTAATATTTCCTCTTTTCTGTAAGTAACCACAGACAATAGGCTAAATGGAGCCCTAGTCTACTGGGATTTGAAAAACTTGTGTTGCTTTGAGAAATGTTTTTTCAGACAATATATATATATATGTATTTTTTTTTTTTGGTTTTATTTTTTGAGACATGTCAGACTGGCTTTGAACTCTCTCAATAGCCCAAATGGTCTTCAATTCCCAGCCATCCCCCTGCCTCAGCCTTCCGACTAGGATTACAGGTATGTGTACCACGCTAAGTAAGTCTTCCTGTTTCTGGAAGTTTCTAAAAAGGAAGCACAGGTCCAGCTTGTTTTAATCCTGCCAAGGGGTTTTGAAAATACTAAATTCTATAGCTTCCCGAGTGCTTCACAGTAGATGTTCCAGAAGAAAATAATTACTAATGACTATAATGAACATCTGAGATTTTTTTTTTTTTTTTTTTGGCAGAACCGGGGATTGAACTCAGGCCCTTGCGCTTGCCAGGGAAGCACTTATTCCACTGAGCCATCTCCCCGGCCCCTGAGATTATATTTTAAAATGATCACTTTCTGTGTTCAGAGCTGTCAACTAGAAAATTTCAAGAAAGAACCCCATTTATCAGGAAAGTGGATACCAGAGATAATCCCAAAGTTGAGCAGCAGAAACACTGGCTTATAACCTACTCTTTGTGAAAATACACATTTGGGGAATTCTGATATGAAATTCATATTGAGGGACTAAAAGACACTAAAATCTAAAGACACTGTATAAGGCTGGCAGACAGTAACAGCCTCAGTTTGGACAGGCTAACCCTGTAGAACCCCAATGTTTTACATAATCTGCTCTTACAAATCACATTATTTCAGAGTCCAATGTTGTAGATTTATTTTTATTTAGAAATTCTTCTATATTCACCTGCCATTAAAAGTTTAAAATTACATCGTGCTTAGAAGTGATGTCAAATATGACATTTTAAGAGTGACAGATTTAAACAGTCTAATTTTGCCCTCTTAAAAATGTACTTAACAAATTTTTGAAACAGAAGCACAAATATACCATATATTACTCTTTAATTAGACTTCTGCTTTACAACGTGTTCTTGTCAATGGTCACTTCCAAACGTAAGCCTGACAAGCATTTTTCAAAAATGTACCATTGGAAAAAGTTTCAGAAAAAACCTTGACCTTTCAGTGGTGTGGAGATGGGAAATACTACTATTTTAAAAACTTCTTTGTTTTGGGGAACTTTTTCTGCATATTTTCATTTGAGTCTATTATTCTTTAACCAGAACTTTTAAGATAATTTCAATTTTAAATGAGTATTTTGTTCCTGAGAAGTACGTCCACTTTCAGCATTGCCTTGCTTAAGAACTGTCTGGATCTTCCCCCATGGCTGGCTCCTGGGTGGAGTCAGGCTGGCCCACTACACGCAGGAAGTCCCCAGTCCCCTCTCATGGCTGTTGACACCTATTTAGCTGCTATGACAGAGAGTTTAACTGCTTTAAGAAGGAACAGGAATGAGAAAAATGCTTAGCATGTTGACTTAGGGAAATTACGCTAGAATTAACATTCTAGAAGCACTCCGCGGTAGGGTATGAGCCTCAGCATCCAGGAAAGACAGCTCCTCGCTCAGTACCAGCTGGCCCTCTCCTGCTGGCTGTGACTTGGCCTTAGCGGCCAAGACGACGGCTCAGGATGGCTTGGTCCATCACTGGGCCCCACTGGGATGGGGGAGGGAGCACAACTACTTCACACATCCCAGGGCTGAACCAGAGGACTCAGGAGGCAAACTTCAAGTGCGGCCTAACACCACAGCCATTTCTGTTGACCCCACAAACTTAGGCTGTGGATTTGGAAGAAGAGTTTAAAATACTTACTATTCTCCTCTTTCAATCAACATAAAAATAAAGCCTCTTTAAGGCTTCTCTGAATGACAATATAAACCTCCATTTGTGGGGGAAAAAACAGCACAGGTTTCAGAGGAAGGACCCCAAGGAAACAGCGTGACTGACAGTGGCAGGCCACAAGGTCCCTGGGATAAGCCGTGGGTTCGGCCGTCCTCTCAAGCCCCGCTCTCCATCCTGGTGCCTCCACCTGAGGACAGATAATACTGCATCTCTGTAAAGACAATGGCATCCTGCTTCACCACCGCACACCACTTCCTCTTGTCCCCATCCAACGTACCCTTCATCCTCCTCCCTAAGACACATCCGAAACAATCTCCATTGTTATTGTCTCAAATAATAAAGCAAAACACATGTTAAAACTCAGGTCTTGTTTTGAACAGAAAAAGTGCTTAAAACCATCCTTCGCAATTGCTCTTCACCTCATTTTCAACCGATAAAATCAAACTCATTAAGGCTTACGAATAATACTGAAAAAATAGTGAATCTGATTTTCTTGTATTTTAAACAATGTGCCTTCATTCTCAACTTTTATTTACATTATCTGACTCAATTCAGTATCTTCATGAGTTGAGCCCTGTTTGGAAAATACAGAAGGTACAAATATATAGAATTTTTAGGATAAAAAAATTTCTGAATATAAAAATGCTGTTTCAAAATAACACTTTCAGATTCTCCTTATAGTCTGAGCTTGATAACTAAACCATTCAGTACCCAAAGTTGTTTTTAAAAAATAACAAAAGATAACAACATGGTTTTGAACATGTTACTCATGAACAACCCAATCTGTGGATCACCCCACAGAAAGCTCACTTTGTCAGTAAGAACACACCTAAGTATTTCAGTCATTACATAAAATTCCATCATCAAAAACTAGCTAAAGATAGAAACCTATAGACTGGGATGCTTGCCAGAACTGTCCAGCACAGCTTCAGTAAAATAGAACTGTCTAGAAAGTACAATCTCCAAAATGTGTGCAAGTACTGCAAACTGGACAGGTGCAGGCCGGACAGTGCCCGGGAAGCCGCGTCCTCCGCGCCGCCAGCACCTTCCCCCGCCTGGGCTCCGTGTGCTGCCTCCAGCGCGCTGCGCCTCGTACTGCGCCACTCCTGTCCTGGCGGCTGTCTGGTGGGATCAGGTGAAGTCAGGCAGGCACTTTTCTAAGCTGTTAATGCTTCACATGATTGGGTCCCCATAAGAAGGTGTGAACACTCAGATGAGCCTGGAGCTTTTCAGGAACTGAATGAGCACTTTGTACACAAACGTGTACTGGCAGAGGGTCTGCACCAGCATCATTCTCTGCTGCCTGAGCATGCCCAGCACTCTCGGGACGTCCAGCACCTAGGGGCAGAAGCACAGTCATGAGAGGAGCACTCTCCCCAGAGGAGAAAAGGCTGACAAGAGCTGGTGCCTCAGGAAAGGTCTGGTTAGGACACTCTCTGGTCTACTGTAGCACCTGCTATAATCCATCACTGCTGGCATCTTTAAAACACAAACAGGGGCCAGGGAGGTAAGAAGCTTAGGTAAAGCACAGGGACCGAGGCTCGATCCCCAGCACCACAGGCCGCACCAGCCCTGCCCCCAGGGCGACCAGAGTCTGGCATGGTGGCACACGCCTACAATCCCAGCACTGGGGAAGCTGAAAGTAGCAGGATCACCACAAGCCCAAGCTGTGTGGTGAGACCCTGTGACAACCAAATACATAAATAAAATTTAAGAAACAAAACAAAACAAAGAAACACAAAGAGAACATCCATGCAAATTGCTTCTTCAGCGTCCTGAGTGCAGCTCTCTGACTTTGAGTCTATATAAATCTCCTTTCCTCGCCAGATACACCAAGATTCAACAGAAACATGGCGTGCTCAGTGCTGTCAGAATCTCAGCATTTCCCAAGAGAGCCTTGGGTCCCCCTAGGAAGCTCACACAACCATCCCTGAAACAGTCCAAGGTACTCCAGGAAAAGCGAGCATCCTGAGCCTTTTTTACTATATGAGGGCTCAGTCTTCAACATGCCAGTAAGTACTGAAAATCTCCAAGAACACACCATCTTTTGCAGGAAACACAATACCATTCTGTGGCCACCACAGACCCAGGAAATGCGTCCCGAAGAGCTTTTAGGTGACAATTCAGCCCCGCTCCTTCCCAGCCCATTATTCTCCCCACCACAAAAGGTCGGACTTCACCCCGCAGTAACCACCTCGTTGTGTTCCAGGCAGGCGATCATGATCTCGCACAGAAGGACCACACCAGTTCTTCCCACCCCAGCGCTGCAGTGGACCAGCAGCGGGGGGTTGAGGCTTTTGGGCTCACTTGTACTATTAGTATGGCGCCGAACAGACTGGATCTCTTCCAGGTATGCTGTGAAAAGTCAATGAAGTAGAATTCTCAGAAAATTACAGCTCATAAAATTGACAACTCAATCTTCCCATTTTCTCCATTGATTGAGAGAATGGCAGATGAAAACTCTGGGTGCCAGGCGACCCATCCTAGCTACTGACTGCGGTGGTAGGAAAATCCAAGCTCTGCCTCCACTTTCGCATCCCCCAAGTGCCTGGAGGGACATGCTCCTGAGGGGTGGTGGGGATGCTCCACTTGCTGTATCTTTTTTTTTTTTTTTTTTTTTTTTTTTTTTTGGTGATACCAGGGATCAAACTCAGGACCTTGCACTTGCCAGGCAAGCACTTATTCCACTTGGCTATCTCCCAGCCCTGTCAGGCTGTATCTTAAAAATGACTCCTTACTAGCCCCTGTAAAGCACTGACAGTCTATTTGAGAGTGAGTCTAAAGCTTATACGAACAACAGGGAGTATTTCAGAAACAAAGTTGTCTTTCCTGGCTGCAGGAGGCCAGCCTGGGAACCAAGACACTTACACAGAAACCCCTTGAGGTCTTCGGGACAGCCGTGCTCAGGCCAGTCGGTGTACTGCAGGTGCCAGACTGTCCTCTCTTGCCCTGTGAGAAGATGCTTCATCTTCAAGCCCGTGGTGGCATAGCAGCCGGAGTCTGTGCGGAAGCGGGTGGTGATCTTAAACCTCCCGTAGGTGACGGTGTTGTGCCTGGAACCAAGTCGTGGCCAATACCTAAAGCTCTTCTCCCTGCCACCTTCCTGTTAAAGACAAGCGCAGCTCAGCAGCAGCACGAGATCTAGCCAGCGGCGCCCTTCGCACGGTTGGTGCCGCATCCGAAACTCAGAACCTCCACCCCAGCGGTCTTTGCGTCCAAAGGTCAGTATGCTAGGTGGCTAACATGGAAAAAGCAATGAAGAGAAACGAGTGCTCACCTCCTCTGCTGTCACCATCGCTATGATTGCAATTCCCTGTTCCCACACCATCTGCCAAAAATCCTGACAGGTATTCTGTAACGGTCCCTGCGTGGCGATATAATCCCACTCAATTCCACCGACAGAGACCTGGAATTAGAAAAAGTTAGAAAATTACTGTGTCTGTGTGCGTAGAGTGTATGTATGGAGCTGTATGTGGTCGTGGTAGCAGGAAGCAAGTGACATCGATCAGACTGCAGCACAAGAGCAGGCTTACATCTTCATCGCTTCCTTGCCAATATTACAGCCATTACTGCCATGTCTACAGACTGTGTACTATGAACTCACGTAACGCCTATGTGTCCTGGGACAATCTGACAACCCCTAAGTATCAGTTCATGTCTATAAAATACAAATAACGCCTCCCCTCACAGGACTGTCATGAAGATGGGGGGGATACACCTGTTCCCTGGCACAGACAGACAGTGCTTCTTTATTGCTGTGATGGTTCCTCTTACCAGTAATACAGACATCATGGTGCCCCAGATTTCAAACACAATTCCCTCCATGAAGCAGTAAATGACAAGGGATAAAGCCAAACCCCAAGTGAAACACCAAACCTTTAGGGGGAATAAAATCTTTGTACTCAAGGTAGTCTTAGGCTAGGGAGATACCTCAGCAGCATAAACACCCGCCTGGCAAGCACTAGGTCCTGCCCGAGTTCAATCCCTGGTACCAAGAAAAAAAAAAAGGTAGCCTTCCTTTTGAACTTCTTTTATTTTTTGAGACAAGTTCTCACTATGTAGTTCAGGCTGGCCTCAAACTCATGGTGATCCTGCCTCAGCCTCCCGAGTGCTGGGATTACAGACCACCCAACACACCCCCAAATTTCTAAGTCAAGATAACTTTCTATAATATACAAGTTCCCAGTTAAGACTGAGCATCATTGGGAAACAGCCTAATTTAACAGCCTGAATATGCAATTCAGAGGCTGGCTTCAATTTCGACTTCACTGATATTTACTGAAGACAGTAACGATACTGAGTGCCCATTAAGCATCAAGCCCTCTGCAATCCCCATGTTCTCAGCTACCACTGCCAGGCCCAGCCCGACCGCTCAGCCTCTCACTGAACACCCAGGTGGGTCTGCAGGTTACACGCACTCAAAACCTGTGGCTATAAAGGTATTATGTTTCTCTACTAAGGGATGAGCAACTGGGGTCTCCCAGCCGGCGAGTGACATATCTAGGAGCGTCTCCATCCAGTTCTGGCTCGTCCTCTCTCCTCTCCTCTCCAGGCGGCCACTAACACCACTACAGAGCCTCAGAACCACTCAGTCTGTATCTAGCCAGTCAGATGCTTGGTTCTTTTAGGTATATGATATCCGAATAAAAAGAGGACAGAACAGTACACACACAAATTCTGCAAAATCACTAAGGTGCCAGCAAGCACACCGGCATCACCGGGTCTTCGGAAAGCCTCAGGGGTCAGACCGCTCTCCTACCAACTATGACTTGCACACTGAAGAAAACATGGGAAGGAAGAAAACGAGCACTAAGCCATCGGTACTTCCTCCTTCACTCACTAGATGGAGATTTCCTCTTTCCAAAGTAAAGAAGGAACTGTCCTACCAATTTGATTTGAAACTGTCTCATTGCTATTTGTTTATCAATAAAATTATGCGGGGGGAAAAAAGAACAAAGTAAAGAAAGGAGTCTATCTGGCAAGAACAAAGGGCACAATGATGGAGAAGACAGAACATCTCGCTTTATTCAACCCCCTGTTGTGAAGAATCACTTTTTCTATTTTAAAGAATGTAACATTACTCCAGTTAAATGGTATAGGAGTGCTTCTGGAAAAAAAAAAGTCCCTTGAAGAACAAAGTGATCTTTAAAAATGATCACAGAGGGGCTGGAGAGATGGCTCAGTAGAGTAAGTGCTTGCCTGGCAAGCGCAAGGGCCTGAATTCAATCCCCAGTTCTGCAAAAATAAATAAATAAATAAATAAATAAAAATGATCACAAAGAGGAAGTAAAGAGAACAGATGGCACCTTTGAAGTAAAAACTTTTTTTTTTTTTTTTTTTTTTATGGAACGGGGGATTGAACTTAAGCCCTTGCACTTGCCAGGGAAGCGCTTATTCCACTGAGCCATCTCCCTGGCCCTGAAGTAAAAACTTTTAGGGGCCAGCGAGATAGCTCAACAGTCTAAAGCGCCTGCTTAGGCAAGCTTAGGCAAAGCATAGGGACCACAGTTCGATCCCCCACACCACATGCCACCCCAGCCCCATCCCCAGGGGGGCTGAGCTGGCCACAAAAAAAGAGTAGAAGTTTTTATGAGTATCATCAAGGAGCACGTTACCTCTTTGGCATAAACGGGCATGTGAAGAGCAGCGCCAGCAACGCGCAGGTCCTGCAAGCGCTTTCCTGCACCTGCTCAGGGGTTTTCATCCATCATGTTAAACCAAGTAAGCAGTTATGAGCTAGAAAGACGTCTTCAGATTTAGAAGGGCAAAAGTCTAAAGCCAGACAAATAAAGCAGTCCCTCAGGCCTGGTGACAACATTGGAGGCAGGGTGGTCTTCCATATGCAGACGTGGACAGGACATGACTCTGTCTAATAAACACTTGCTGTTGCACTAAAGTATGGGTTCTCCGAATGCTAACACAGTTGTCACAGAGGTTTAAAACTGGGGTCTTTTTAGAGTATGGACAAGGATACAATTCTTACCATTCTCAGCCCAAGCTGCACGTGCTATTTATTGCGCTGGACAGTCCTCTCACCTTAATATGTGACGCATTGATGTAGCCAGTGTTGTTCTCCTTGGTGGGGACCAACTCCACCCTCGCATCGTCATAGGGAAGGACGTCCTGGAATCTATTTCGTTCTGCATTTTCAGGGAGTCGGGCAGTGGAGCACTCCCCATCAACTAGCCGTTTTTTAAGAATTCTTTCATATTCTGTGAATACCATTCCCTGTTCTAACCTCTGTTCCAGCATTTTACACTGTAAGACAGAATATGTAGAATAAAATGAAGACTGTAATGTCACTGCTTGCTGTATTCTGACCGTCCATTTGAAACCTTGTCCTCTGCTTCAAATCCAGCATGGTCTAATATTGGAAATTCTACCTGAAGCAAAAGTTAAAATTTTAACAAGCCATAACAGAGTTAAAAGAACAAAATTATAACTTTGTTGGTATGCTATATAATGCAAAATTGTGTTTAAAGTTAAAAATCTGGATTGAAGTAATTTGCTGAATTTTTTTCTTTCTCTAAATCAATAGTCATTTAAATGTGACCCTTAAGAAATGGAATGCTGGGGCCGGCCAGACAGCTCAGCAGACCAAAGTGCCTGCTTAGACAAGCGCAGTGGCTGGAGTATGATCCTCGGTGTGCCATGCCAGCCCTGCCCCCGGGCTGTGCTGAGAGGGCGACTGAGACTGGACATGGTGGCGCACGCCTGTGTGATTGGGCAGCTAAGAACAAGAGGATCACTCAGTCCCATCTGTGTAGTAAGACCGTGAACACCCTGTAGACCCTGTACCAAATACACACACACACATACACACACATACCAAAAACAAAGAAAAGAGAGTTCTGAAGGTGAGCAGTACTATACATTTGAGAGTACGATAGCCAGTTCTAACACCTGTAAATACTCCATTTTGTAATAAATGATATATAAAATACTGAAAACAGTGGTAAATTAGGAACCACCTTTAGATCAAGCTGTAAATAAATTCATGCTGGTATTTATAACAAAACTGAATTGAAAATATGCCTTACTCACAAACAATTTTGAAAACTCTGGTAGCTTATTTACTCTCAAGATAAATTTTCAGGGGCCGGGGAGATGGCTCAGTGGAATAAGAACTTCCCTGGCAAGCGCAAGGGCCTGAGTTCAATCCCCGGTTCCCCGGTTCCGCAAAAAAAAAAAAAAAAAGATAAATTTTCAATACAATGAAACAGTCAGTGTCTGCTTCTTTCTTATGTGTATACATATACATTTGCATACCTTTACCTTAAGGCCACCAGAAACCAAGACTGCCCCAATGGCTGGCAGAAGACAAAGAACATAAAGAAAGAAGAAATAAACATTCACTCCTGAAATTATCTAGTAAAATATTAGCTAAACATGTGTTCTGCTTCTGTGGCTCAGATTATGCAATTTCTTAGTATTCATTTCTGATTATTAAGTTATGCTAGAAAATTGACTAAAACCTCATAATTAGTAGTATCTACTAATTGTCCCAGAAAGGCCCAAAGCCAAGCATCTCTCATGTACATACCCTTTCATCATTCGTCGCTCTAGTGGACACTTCCTTCCCTTCATCAGGCAGAGGCAGTCGAGACAGGGAGAGGCCATTGAGCGCAGCCAACTTAAGAGGGCCGACCTTCTTGGCATCTACTCGAGTCTTCTTCATTCCCTGAAAGAATATTTGCATGTACATAAGAAACTCACACAGATGCAATCCTTTCCAAAGGAATTTCAATGCGATGAAGAATAGAAACAAAGTGTCCTCCCTGCCAGCGACCACAAGAGACTCCGCTTCTTTGCACATTGCTTCTTTAATAAGCATTAGGAGAAAGACACTCCTTTCAAGGCCAAAGCCCTGATAAGTCTTCCAGATAGAAGGTTTTGAAACTCACTTGGTTATGAGGCTCTGTTGCAACAAAAGGTGAGGCTCCAAATCGGCAGCATTCCTCCATAGAACTCCCCGATTTTAAAACATGGCACATTAAAAAAAAAAATCAGCTGCCATCCACAAAGAAACTTTAAAATGCAACCATTTCATTCAAATATGCTTTTTCAATATTTCTAAAATATAAAGTTTTAAAACTTTGGCTTCGGGGCCGGCCAAATAGCTCATCAGATTAAAGCGCCTGCAAGCAGGTGCAGGGGCTGGGGGTTTCATACCTGGATCTGTCATGCCGGCCCCACCCCCGGGACACACTGAGAGGGCAACTGAGACTGGGCGTGGTAGCATGCGCCTGTGATCCCAGCTCTTGGGAGGCTGTAAACATGCGGAT